CCTTCCTTCCTTCCTTCCTTCCTTCCTTCCTTCCTTCCTTCCTTCCTTCCTTCCTTCCTGACAGTGTTTTGCTTCTAGCAAAGCACACAGTGTAGGTGGTCTAGAGGTCAAACTGGATGGACTGAAAACTAAAAGCTGGGTGGAAGCTTTAGTCGGACCCTATGACTGCTTAATCCACAAAATATTTGAAATTCTCAGGGAGGAAAGAATGCCAGAATTTGGAGGAGCCAAGAGGGTGGCCAGCTTACTGAAGCTCACCTCCAGATCCAGATGCTGTTCTTTTCTTCCCACTTTCTCCAGAAGCTGGTCTGCACCACATCTGCTACTCAGCTGCAAGTCTGCTTCTCAGCCAAGCACAGCCCCCTCATGTTTCTCCCATGACACTCTGGGCTGATTAACAAGGAGAGGAACAGGAAAGGCGGGGGAGCTGATGTGCTACTTGGAAGGGATAGTACGTTTCCCCTCACTGGCCTCCAGCCCCTCAAGTCTGGCCACCAGCATATTGCTGCTTTCCCAACTCCCTATCTCAGAAGGAGAGACATCCTGACTCAAGGGGCAAGGACCCTCTTGATGACTTAAGCCCAGGCAGTGTCTCCTGAGTCTGAGCTCTGCTCTGCTGGCCTCAGGGGCCCTTGTTAGGCTGAAGGAGTTGTGGTGTGATGACCTCTCAAGGGAGCTGTTCCTGTGATTGTTCTAAGCAAAGTATTCCTACTGGAAATCACACCTAGCATGGCTGCCTCCAGGGGATATGGGAGCCCTAAGTCTTCCTGTTTCAATGTGGGGCTCATCCCAGAGCTTATTAACCTCACTGCAACATCTAAAGCATGTGCTTTAGTCTCCCCAACTCTGGGTTATCAGAGGTGGGAAAATATTTTTGTGGGTGAATATTTTATGTTTGGGGATGTAGGTGTGGACCGAGGTGTATTCTAGAACAAGGAGGTTGCAGTTTCCAGGGGATTCAGTGGAGGTAGATCAGTGGTGTGTATGTGTGTTCCAGTATTGTTGGGAGCCATTCTGAGCCCACTAGTCGAGAAAACTCCGGGTGAGGTTAAAGCAAGTTTGCACGGTCTCTTGCCAATCAGATGATGACCGATATCTACCCCCACTCAATTATTTCTGCTTGAGCACTGACCCCTAGGGTACCTTGTTGATCAATATCGCGAGTGACTTGTCCCCTTATTCCGGACCTGGTATGATGATTGCACCTTGTGAAGGAACTTATTGTGGGAACTTCTTCTTTTGATTATGGGAACAGACATCGTGTCTCCAGCAGCTCCTGTTTCCCTCCATACTTTCCCTTGAGCTATGAACAGGCTAATGACCCCTAGTCATAAAAGATTGACCTTTACATGTACAATTCTGTTTCTACCGTTGCATTAGTCCAAGATGTTCATACAGCTCAACATGTAAATCAACTAACCAAAAATGTCTCTCATGCCCTAGCTATTCTAGAAATCATAAAAGTAGACACAAAGGTAAATGCACTCAAAGAGGCTATTCTATGTATGGGAAATAAGCTA